AAAATATATACCATTTGAAATTCAATTAGTCGTGTAAAGCCAAAAGTGCAAAACTTTCAGTCGTTACGTAGTTAGTAACATCGTTGTGTTTTCCGGTACCTACATATATTTATTTGTCTCTTTCAAGTGTCGTCATAATAATATTGGTCATTTATGAATCAGCGATAACATTAAGATTTACCAATGATAATATCATTATCAAAGTTAAATATCTATTATTTAACTTTGATAATGTTATTAGAAGCAAAATTTTATGTTAATCCTCGTTATATCTATAATACTAAGGCTTTATGATAACGTTATTGGTGGCGATTTATATTTTTCTACTCTTTTATTGCAATCTGTAAATTATAATTTTATTATCCATATCACAATGCTCTTTTTAGTTCTGAATTACAATTCTATTATCTATGGTACCTGCTTGTGAACTAAAAAATGTCATTATACTGGATCTGAACACAGAACTGTTTCAAAAAAAGAAAGTCGTATTTTTCTGATAGAAACAGTCTCATAAATATAGTGATGTTATTGTAGACGATCTAGACCTGCGCGGCGGCGTCGTTTAAATGGTTTGGCTCCCGCGTCCGCGAACGGTGTGTTGTCGTTGACCCGCATCCACTTTCATTGTGTTTCAGGGTTTATTCTACGGCAGACGAACTCACGGACACCAACTAGTTTTATATACATAATGTACAAGAGGTTTGAATTGTACAATATTTTAAATAATTTTAATCAGTGTTAGATTAGGCACACAGTTAGCCTATAATATAGTCCCACTGATCTCACAATGAAAAATATTGAAAAGGCTGGTATTCAGTGATATTTATGCGGTATTTAATCGTACATTTAATGAACACCAACATGGTTTTGGAAGAAATAGGTCAACTGTCTCTAACTTAGTCATCGCCAATGAATTCATAACAAGAGGCATGAAGGGCCGTGCATAAGTTGATGCGTTTACACTAATTACACTATATGTTTTATCGCATAGATCACAATATGCTTCTGAACAAGTTGATGGTAGCAGGCATCCATGGAGATTTATTGCGCTGGTTTGCTTTTACGTAGCTAATAGAAGCCAGGCGGTTGTGTTACGTGGCTTTATGTCAAGATAGACATCAGTCCCTTTGGTGTACCACAGGGTTCTATCTTTGGACCTTTATTATTCATCATCTTCATCAACGACATAGGATCTTGTTTTATTCACTCAAAAATCTTGCTCTTTCCTGATGATATGAACATGCTAAAAGTCATACGTGGGCAAACAGATGTTAACGATCTTCAGGCAGACTTAAGTAGATTTGAAGCTTTCTGTACCATAAATAGGCTTGAACTTAATGTGTCCAAATGTTTTTATATGACATTCAGCCGTAACACATCAACTATAAAGAAACATCAACTATAGGCACTGGTTACAAATTACATGGCACCAACATATTGAGAGTCAGGGAAATGAGGGACTTGGGTGTACTCCATGACGACAAACTACTTTTTGACAAGCATATTGAGTGTGTAGTAAGTAAGGCATCAAAGGAACTTGGATTCATTACGCGGACATCAGCGACGTTCAATAATATCAAATGCATTAAGATTCTTTATTGCTGTTTTGTACGGAGTCATCTTGGGTATGCTTCACAAGCCTGGAATACATGCTATGAAACCTATAGGTCTCCGTTGGAGGCAATTCAGCAGACATTTTTACCTTATCTGGACTACAAAACCAAACAATTTTCATCAGGTTATGAGCATAGGTGTACTAGGTACCATTTTTGCCGCTTCGTGTACGTCGAGAGATTAGTGACGTCAGTTTTCTGATGAGGGTCGCCAACGGTAATATTGATTGTCCAGAATTGTTGTCACACATAAACCTGCGCAAAAACCTGTTGCATTACAGATGTCGACCACCTCTGCAAGTGCCGTTTGCGAGCACTAATTATAGGCAAAATACGTACATCGTGCGTGCATTGAGACTTTTTAACAATGCGACAGTAAATCATTCTGAATTTGATTTGTTTTGTTCAAACATAGACACAGTCAGGCGAGAAGTGACCAAAAGTCACTTTGACATATCACGTGATTGGCGATGAATATTTTTTCGTTTTTTTCGCCGGTTTTTTCGTTTAATTGTCTATTAATTTTTTTTAAATTTAGTGACTGTGTTCTTTGTTTTCTTCTATAATCTCCTTTTGGCTTGCTAAGTACTTTTGTACTTTTGGTGGAAACTCGTAAATGGCATTAAATTACTCATATTTAAGTATACTATAATTGTATTATTTGTCCGTGAATTTTCCTAAAATGTATAAAGAAATAAATAAATAAAATAAAAGAGATAAATAAAAAAATAAAAATTTAATTAAGGCTAAACTTAAGTCGGATTATTATATTAGAAACAAATTTTTGTGGGGGGTAAGAAATTGTGATGAAATTGAAAATTATACTAAAATATGTAATGAACAGTTAAAACTTATTAATTTTCCTATTGAATTCCATAATTGTGCCGATAGTATGTGTGATGAGTTAAGCCATCATAGTGTAATAAATAAGTTGTATACTAATATTGTACAGGTTTTGAGAAATGCCACAGCGCAAAGCCGTCTAAGGAAAGTAAATAGAGACCAAAACAATGTACGTAAAGTCGTGCTGGGTTGGAATAAGCATGTATCGGAGGCACACAGGCAAGCTAAATTGGATTTTGAAATATATATATCCTATGGAAAACCAGAGAGTGGACCGATCTATGATAAAATGTGTCTTAGCCGTAGAAATTTTAAATCTAGACTAAAGTTTTGTCAAAACAATCGGGAGCAGATTAGACAAGATATGCTTGCATCACAACATGCTTCGAAACAGTTTGACAAGTTCTGGAAAAATACTAGGAAACATACTCTGAAGCCAAGCTTACCAGTTAGTGTTGATGGTTTCAGTGACCCATCTAGTATTGCTAATGTTTTTAGGGAACATTTCAAGGTCGAGTCTCCTCCTGTTTCCTGTGGGGTGCTCGGTGCTGAGACTTGTCATGTCAAACAACCTATTTATATATCTAGTAAGGACGTTTCACTTGCAATTAAAAATATGAAAAGAGGTAAGTCGCCGGGGCATGACAGTCTCAGTATTGAGCACTTACAGCATGCAGGCCCACACATAAATAGGCTTTTGTCCATGTTGTTCACTTTCTGTCTGAGACACACATACTTACCTCCGGACCTAATGAAAACAGTTGTTATACCTTTGGTTAAAAATCGTACAGGTGATATTGCAGATAAAGGCAACTACAGACCCATCTCTTTAGCAACAGTGGTAGCAAAGGTCTTAGATAGGATAATCGATAATCACCTTAGCAGCCGCACAAAATTAGATGACGCTCAGTTCGGCTTTCGTGAGGGTATGTCGACAGAGAGTGCTATACTGGCACTGAAATACACTGTGGACTATTATTTGAAAAGAAAGACACCTATATATGCCTGTTTTTTAGATTTGTCAAGAGCCTTCGATTTGGTCTCATATAACATACTTTGGCCTAAACTAACAAATATTGGTGTTGCTCCTGAAATTGTAGGTATACTATCACATTGGTATAATAGTCAAAAAAATGTTGTTAAATGGGCGAATTCATTCTCTAGCGAGTATACGTTGAAATGTGGTGTAAGGCAGGGTGGATTGAGTTCGCCTAGACTTTTCAACATATATGTGAATAAGTTGATCAGTGATCTCAGGAGTACAAACGTTGGGTGTAGAATAGACAGTATCAGTGTTAATAACATCAGCTATGCTGATGACATGGTGCTGCTGAGCCCATCAATCGGTGGTCTGAGAAAGATACTGCAGGTGTGTGAAACTTATGCCGAGGGACATGGACTAAGGTACAACGAAAAGAAGAGCGAGTTTCTGGTATTTAAATATAAAGGTCACAGTGACATTCCACCGCTTCTACTTAATGGTGTACCCTTGAATCGTGTCTCTCGTTTTAAGTACTTGGGGCACATTGTAAATGAGAATCTTGGAGATGATGATGATGTGGAGAGAGAGCGTAGAGCGTTGTCAGTGCGCGGTAACATGTTGGCCCAGAGGTTTTTCAAGTGCTCTGTTAATGTAAAAATAACGCTTTTTAGAGCATTCTGTCAGAATTTTTATACAGGTGCACTGTGGACCAACTTTACGCAGCGGGCTTACAACTCCTTGCGTGTACTGTACAATAACATCTTTAGGGTTCTGTTGAGGCTTCCCCGCTTTTGCAGTGCATCTGGCATGTTTGCGGATGCATGCGTGGATGATTTTTACGCAATCATGCGCAAAAAAAGTGCGTCACAGATGTTGCGACTGCGTGGGAGCACCAATAGTATCCTAAAGATGATAGAAGTAAGAATGGACTCGCCTGTCTTTCGGCGGTTTACCGAGTTACATGTAATATGTAAGTAATATTAATAATAATGTATAATAATAATGTATAATAATAATGTAATTGCACCTATTTGATAATTGTTTTTGTCCTCTTTGTCTCTACTAACTTAGCACATAAGATTATTGTTACTAACAAATATGGACTAAGTTGTCTGAAAAATAAATGAATTTGAATTTGAATTTGAAAAATAAGTTGTTTGAATAAGTGCCAAATGGCTTGCCTATTCATTTCAATTATCGATGAAATAGTTTTTTATTATCATTTCAGGAAAAATCTTGTTGAAATTATCCCGTGTGCAGCATGACATAACTGTAACATAAACTGCCACTCCTGCCGCACCTCGCAGCTATCTCAGGAACCTGCCCAGTTAAGCGGTAGGCCTATAGCTTTAAGTTCTTTTCAGGGTAAGTATAATTTCCTAGGTTCCCGCGAGCAATTTATAACAAATATTACACATATTGCGCTGTTCAGAATTACGTAGTTTATTTAATAAATATATCCACTGTTGATTAATCGTGATTGTTGGTACGGATAAGATTAAAATTGAAACTCAATTGGGTTTAAGGACTTTGATTACTTGTTAGTTCTAGTATCACCTTCAATATTTTTGTATGTAGTGGACATTATTTAACTTTAAATAAAAATGACATCAATTAGAATTATTTTTGTAATATTAAACATATTAGTGTTAATTCATATAGTAAATAGTGATCATAATAGTAGAATCATGTTTATTACAAGGGATCCCAAACATCCAGCGTTTGATCCAAAAATATACGAGGAAGCTTTAGATTCTGAGCTGTGTACAAAACAAATAGACTATTTGAGTTTCAATGATACGCTTTTGAGGATGACATGTAAGTACTATAATAGATTTTTGTTTTCATAACTTGTATCAATGTACAAGTTAATGATACACAGAACGTATCTTTAACGATGGAATAAACTCTACAACTACTTTCGTGATTTTTGTTATGATTACAAATATAAATATCAGCAATCCTAAAGAAAGACACAGTTCATATATTGGCTACAGTTTCGGCTCTCGGCCAACTACAACACTGTTCCAAATTGTTTTCCCTTTCCCTAAGTTTCTGTCTCGAACTAGAAGCAATAACGGTCCATTCCCGCCAATGCATGTATGGTGACGAACTTGGACACCATGACCTCGTGTGTATGAAGTGCTGGCTGGGTATCCCGCCATGTAGCACTCTATAAAATCATATTCTGAACGTTGTGTTTGTTCACCCAAATGGGGGTATCAGTGGCTCCACCGCAATAGCAATGTACTTAAATATGCCAACTTCGGCTAGTGCCACAACTATGTGCCTTTTTTTGTATTACAAATCCAGGATCTCAAGGATGCACAAGAACAAAATTGTTAAGGGAACCGTCAGTGCCTCGTCAACATCTCCGCATTCAAAAAGGTTGGCCGCTTCTTATGCCAAAAAACACATTTAGCCATCAAGAGTGGAAATATTGCTAGCCTCGTGGGCATCATGCTACAGAGCCCAGCCTTCTAATTTTCTATCTTATATTAAAACATATTATTTAAAACTGGGTACTCATTAGCGAGCTATAACAGTAGCATGACAGATACAGTAGCGACGACGTTCTAGTGTGTACGCGTGAAACAGTCTTCACTGGCTAGAATGAGTACGTACCTGGTTATCGTCGGCTCACTGCAAACCGTATGCGTTCCGCCCGCGGCAAGCTCGCGAACGTACACATTATAATTTTTGGTAACATAACATGCAACGGTTACGGTTACAGCTCGCTTGTGAGTACCCGGCTTAAGGTATTATATCATTTGTTTCAAGCCATGTAAATATTAGTTGGTAACTAGTTAATAACATATATGTTTTTACATTTGTGTCAACTATAATACAGTGCAACGTAACGAAACGCTGTAAACAACTCTTTGCGTTATATTTCTAGGCAAATGTGTTATAACCATAGTCACATAACCTAATAAGTCGGCTTCCATTCACATTTACACTGTAAAAAAGTTAACTGTAATAAATATAATCAACTGTAATAAATAGACTGTAAACAATTATATTTACGTAAAAATGAATGATTTATTAATTGCCATTTAACGATGAAGTTTGTAGTGATATTGTGTAACGAAAATTATTCTTACAGTTCTCGAAGCAGGCCTAAGAATACCGAGAGGAATTCTGCAAGGAAATCTACTAGATCTAGGAAATTACCGCCAATGCCTTGGTATTAACACAGAAATCGATAATATGGTTATTAAAGGAAAGTATTGTCAAATAAATATTGGATTGTCAGATCTTGTAAGCTTAGGCGGTGCAAATGAGTTGGTAAACGTCAACAAAGCTGGTGATACTTTAACAAATGAAATAAATTTGTATAAAAGACTACGAAAACATGTAGAGGCGATGTATGGAGTAGAAAGAAAAGAAATGTTAAGGTAATGAATCTGAATTAAAATTATGTTAATGTTACAGTAAATTGCTTTTAAAGTCGTAATATTTCTTATTTAAATTCCTTTATTAGTCTACTTAGTATTAGTCAAGTTAGAAACACTACAAGTTATACAAAGATACACTGGCATGTTAAGACTAAATTTAGTGTATTACAAAATTTCTTGCAAACAAATTAGCCATATCAAGAACTGGGCTATTTAAGATTGCCAGTCATTTGACGAATGAGCCATTCGTCTACTAAACTAATGTAATAGTTTAGTTTTCAATGATTTGCCTATTTCATACTATCAGCCGTTTATAGATACCAACAAGGTCAAGATCTAGGTTTTTCATTTCTCTAGAAGTGATGCCCTAGAAACATTACCTTAAGTAACAGCTACTCAATTTTTACTTTTTAGGACGGATGCAGTTAATTTGAATGCTTTACGCTTTACATTATCCATGTGTTTACCAAAACCTTGCACCACAAAAGAGGCATTGTCAAATCTCATCGGAATTAAGTTGGAAAATTATTGGGAACTCTCTTGTCGATTCAAAAACGACAAACCCTGGGCACCAGGGGTTTATGTCGCTATGTAAGTAATTTTTGTTTCCTGTTTAAGTTTACTTCGAAGTCGTGTGTGAAACATAATATTTATTGTGAAAATTATGTTACAGACTTAGATGTTTATAAGTACTAACACAGTTAACAACACTGTTTGTTGCCATTTCATTTTCTTCATTATCTGAAATAGATTTGAAATCATCAAGAATAAAGTAATGTACTATTACAAATAGATTTTTGTTTTCAGTGTCATCTTCAGTTTATTTGGTGCATTGGGCATTCTTAGTACAACCTACGATATATGGAATGCGGTTATTCGTAAACGAGGTTAGCTCCTGTAGTATATTAGCAAATGCTATGACTTTTACACGTATGTCTTTTTAGCGGCAGTAAAGCACCTTGTGAAAGAATTCGTTCAGAGACGTTCTGCCACCTTACTTATTTTTGCTGCCATGCAATAATGTGAGCATTAATGCATTCCAGTTACAATCATATGGGAGTAAATTTGAGTTAAACTTTTTGAGGGTAGCCGGGTTATATGCATCCTAAAATATTATAAAGACTCGTTTTATATATTCAGGGACTGTTATAGTTTGTATAGTATGAAAAAATATTAAGTACTTTGGCTTGAAAGGTAGCTTTTAAATTTTTAACAACGACAATTTTTGCTAGAAAATATTTTTTATTTTCAGATCCCAAATCTCTCAACACAATTTGCCTATCGTTCTCAGTGTACACAAATTCTCGACGTCTCATCACGTTTAAACCAGTTCGCGGTGCAATAGAATGTGTCGACGGTATCAGAGCAATAACTATGCTTTGGATTGTACTCGGGCACTTAATTGCCTATCCACCACCTCTTCTAAATAATTTGGATTTGTTTCGGGTATATGTTTTTTTATGACACGTTAAATCCGTCTCTTTCTTTGGCTTTTAAGTATTATTTATTTGATTTGAAAATTGCCTTAGAAAAAAGAAACCGAGTTTACTTACACTGAGCCATTGTGAGAAAGCATATTCTTCACAGAAGATAGAAAAGAGGCATACTTACTTATTTTTATGGGCAATATTAATATATGAAAAAAATCTACATTATATAAAACAAAATAAATGTGGTTGTGGAGTTTTCTGCCTGCGCAAAACCCTTTGTCGTTGGCATCATCGGATTGAAGGACTGGGAGGGTCAGCAAATTCATAAACATAAGATACTTATGTCCCAAGACCTGCAACATATTTGCGATATTAAATATACTTTCTCAATGTGGCAAATATTTAAGGCTGTCTGACTCAACAAAATTGTTTTCACTTAATTGTTTGTTACTCTTTTATAGTGGATTTTCTCATTTAATTCTATATGGATGACTTCAGGCCAAGTCAGTGTGGACACTTTCTTTATGCTTAGCGGTTTACTCATCGTCTATACTACTGTTGGAAAACTTAGCAACGGTAAGCATTGATTCAAGAAATCGACTCTTTGATTTGCAAATACATAAGTAGACCCTCTTTTTCTATTTTGGTTTTATTGGAATTAGTGATGGGTATTAGTTTAATATGTTAATACGTTAATTTAATATTTAGATACATGACATGATTCTAATTATATTTGAAATTTGAATTAGCAAATTTATATGTAAACGTTCAATATTTTTCATTTCTATAAGAAAATTTTAAGATTTTCACAAAGGTTCCAGAAAGTTGAAATTTCATTTAATAAAAGATGCTAGGTCACGTATTCCAAGCTTAGCCCGTGTTTTAAATACACGAAGTTCACGACAGTCACGTTTGGCTGTATGATAGTTACTGAAAGCCCGATTTTTGACTGTACGATGAAAAATTTAAAAAAGTATATTTTTGTCATACCATTTCTCATAAATATGTTTTAAAGGACTATGTACCTACTAGTCAAATTTCTTTATACTAAAAATGTATTATATGAAAAGCATTTATTATTATTATTATTTGACAGTGAAACTATTAAAGAAACTCCACCTATTTTACCTTCATCGCCTTCTGCGGATGTTCCCGCTACTGGCCGCTACCATACTGTTGCATGTTGGTGTTATACATTACATTCATGACGGTCCTAATTGGCTTACAGTAGCTGTTGTGACGCAACAGTGTAGGATAAACTGGTGGTCAACATTGCTTTATGTACATAATTATATTCGACCAATGGTATGTATTATAGTTTTGTTGCAATTCGTGAGTGTAATGTTAAGAGTCGATGTAACCTCAAATGGCTTTGGGTGATTATATCGCATAACAATGACTGTTGAATCAATCACTTTGAAAAAGATATATTGTAAAATCGAGGAAATACTTTGATTACTATACGGTGTGAAACACGATTCATAAAAATTTTCACGATAGAAAAAAACACAAACTTAACTCGTAATTTTACAAGAATTCAATAGATACTTTATAATTAATAATTTTGATATAATGCCAGAGTTTTTGCCGCTTGACTTAAGGAAAATGGACCGTACTAGTACGGGAAAAGTTTGAATTCGAGCTAAGGTAGCATAGCCTCTTAAGTAATTAATGGATTATGTGATTCATCTGAATTGTGTGATTGATGACTAATATCACTTAGGTATTTATCACAAGTTAAATATGTTCTGTGTTATGTGGTACAAATTATTGAATTATATAGGTTATAAATCTTTAACAACAAATGTAGATATTTTGCCTAACAATGGAATGTATTTAATTTTATATGACAGATAACACAAAACAAAAGAAAGTTTATTTATGCAATTTTATGCATTTTTAACTGTCTTTCAAACTTTTACATTCGGCATCCGAACAGTCTACTGGACGGGAAATTTTTTGTTTCATATAGTTGAAAGAAATCTAATGATATCACTTAGATGCAAATGGTCCTCAAAAAGTATTAGTTTTCATGGTCAAATAATATAATCTAGACAATTGAATCTAGACAATATATTTAAATTCAATTGAAGTAGCCGGAACACCTTTTCTTCCTTTTTTCTTTATGACCCATATACTCTGCTACTTATAAGACAAGTTAAAAAATATATAAGTGTATAAAAAAAGTTCTCGTGATTTACTAAATATTTGCTCCATTATTTAGTCTATTTTCATTTTCAGTGCGTACCTCAAACGTGGTACTTAGCAATTGATATGCAGCTACATATCCTGTCTCCGTTGATTTTATTCTGGGTATTATCAGGCAAAAAAAGGCTCGCCTGGTCGGCGTTGACTGCTGCGTTATTAGTTTCTCTTACGGCATCGTCGATTTACGTCTTCCTAAATAATTTCACTGGTACTTATATAAGACCTACGTAAGTATTGCATAAACACAAATTGATTGAATAAATTTATTTCTAAATAATAGGGGTTAAAGTATGAAATTGCCGATTTGTACTGAAAATCTAAATTGTTTATTTTTTAAATTTTGAACAAATTTATTTAATCAAAATAGTTGCCATTATTATCTATACATTGCTGCCATCTAATGGGAAGGTTATTAATGCCTTTGCGATAGAACTCCGACGATCTTGACTGGACAAACTGTGTGAAAGCATTTTGTACTGCCTCCTGGGAAGAAAACTTCTTGTCACGTAGATAATTGTCCAAATCACGAAAAAAATGGTAGTCCGTTGGAGCAAGGTCTGGTGAATACGGAGGATGACGAATGGTTTCTAACTGCAGTTCCTGAAGGGTCAAAATGGTTTCTCGTGCTGTGTGAGGTCTCGCGTTGTCGTGGAGCAATAATGGTGAAGATCGATTCATGAGTCGGGGCTGTTTTACTGCTAGTTTTGTCAACATGGTTCGGAGTTCGGCACAATAGACATCTGCCGTTATTGCTTGACCAGATCGGAGAAAACTATAGTGAATAACACCATGCTGAGACCACCAAACAGTTACCATTACCTTTTTATTGGTAAGTTTTGCTTTAGGACACTGTTGTGGCATTTGACCCGGGGTCAGCCATTGCATTTTTCTTTTCCGGTTATCATAAAGAATCCACTTTTCATCACATGTTACAATTCGATCCAATATTCCTTCATTTCTGTACCGGTTCAACAAGGCAACACAAGTTTCAACACGCGTTTCTTTCTGCAGATCAGTCAAATCATGAGGCACCCATTTTTCGTATTTTTTTATTTTATTGATTTGACGCAGGTGAGTCAATATTGTGGGTAAGGTAACGTTAAACCATGCCGCTAATTCCTGAGTAGTTTGACTAGGATCGGCTTCCACTATCTCTCTTAATTCATCGTTATTCACCTGTGTGGGCGGTCTTCCTCGTGGCTCGTTCTTTATGTCGAAATTTGCATCACGAAAGCGTTTAAACTAAAATCGCACGGTGCGTTCATTAGTAGACTCCTCTCCAAACGCAGCATTGATATTGCGGGCTGTTTCTGCCGCGTTAGTTCCGCGTCGGAACTCGTATTCAAAAATCAGTCGAATTTTCGCAGTATCCATCTTTCTTGTCTAAACTGAATAACAAAAACAATTGAAAGTCGATATTCAAATGTTTCAAATTTAAAAAAAAAAAATCACAGAAACCATTTGAAAAAAGTTTCATTCGAAAACCTCAAACCATGAAGATTCTATGAAAATTCAAAGAACCTATTGCAATAAAACGGCAATTTCATACTTTAACCCCTAATATTATAAATTGATTTAATCAATACATATTTAAAAGTGTTTTTTACGATCAAGTCGTGCCCACAACATGCCCCCTCGGCGGCTCATGGATATTATTTAAATTTTGGCCAAACTTCTCATGCTATTCCAGAGGGAGTTGAAGTTTTTGATGAGTTGTGTGGACTTTCTTCGACACGTATTTTCTACCAAGATTCTTTACCATAGTGCTAGTTAAGTAAACTGCGCAATGATATAAAAACAATGAATTGGATTCTCTCGGTGGATGTTGAACCGAAAACCTCCCATACAGCGCGCAAGATTCTCATTACTTGGCAACCCTGCTACACTGAATTGAATAAACTTTTTTTAATTACAGATTGACTCGAGAACAGGAAAATAAATACTGGAGTTACTATTACAACAATACGTTAACAAGGTGCTCACCTTTCTTTGTCGGGATGTGCTTTGGGTACTTGATCCACTTTTGGCGAGAAAAGAAAATTCGATTAACAAGGGTGAGTTTAAAACCTTAGAAGTAACAAATAAAAGTTGATAATTAATTAAATTTTTATTGAATTGATATTCAATTATTTTTTTGCGAAATTACTCCACTAGTTTGTTATAATTATTAATACAAAGATCGATCACTCAGAAAAAACACTCAGAAAAAATTCCTTCGATCCGGTCGGATTCGAACCGACGTCTTCTTGCATACCGTGCCAGACGCTATACCAACTAAGCCACGGAACGAACCAACGGACCTCACGAATTTTTCTATGTGCTTGCGTCGTGTCTTTGTACTTGGTCTTTCAACGACTTTTTAGTCGTAGCGCCATGTATGAGAAATCTATTACAGATTTATCACCCAGTTAGTACCTTTACAGCTACCAGACCTGGCGAGAGATGTCGCTATTCACTGTATTAATTAAATTTTTATTGTATTGATATTCAATTATTTTTTTGTGAAATTACTCCACTAGTTTGTTATAATTATTAATACAAAGATCGAATACTCAGAAAAAATTCCTTCGATCCGGTCGGATTCGAACCGAAGTTGATAATTATTCTATTTTGTTAAATAATGCACATTTTGTGAAAAAATGTTGACAACATTCTCAACATGTCTATTCGGTAAATGAGCATTACTACGTCAAGGTTTTGAAGCGTGAGGGTGCTGGTAAATTACACGCTCATAAGATTTGTTAACTTCGTGTTTCACGCTAACGGACACAGTGGCAGTGACCATCAGGTCTTCGTTATTTAAAGCTTTGAGTGGCCATATAACTATTATGAATAGACGTGTCGCTTATCACCAGACGCACTACTTGTACGCGCCATTACCTACTTGATCAAAAAAAGACACGTACAACTAGATAATTTGTTTAATACGATAAAATGATTTCTTTATAACACAATGAATAAATTCTCGTACATAATGTCCACCCTAGCGTTAGTTTATAGTCTCGGATATAGCGTGCTAAATCAGATAAAAATGAAATTACAGAAATTATTGTTTTACAGGTCATGAAATGTATATTATGGATTTTTGACTTAGCTGTATTAGGGTTGGCTTTCTACGCAACCGAGCCTATGAAAAATGCTGACTTTGATAACCAAACTTATGACAATTTTGTAAATTCCTTCATGCGACCAATGTGGGCTTTTGGACTTGGCTGGCTCATTCTTGCTTGCGCTGAAGGTTACGGAGGTGAGAACTACATGTAAAAAAATACAAAAATATTTATACATCTATCTAATATTTATGTATATTTCGTAGTGTCATTTAACATCTTCTACAAGAGACGTATTTCAATTTCGCAAAGTGTGTACGTACATCCTGTTGCACATGACTATACCGTAATGTATTTATTATATAATAATTTCTACTACAAAAAAACCGACCTCAAAAGTCATTCATCCCCTAGTTTGCCACCTAGTTAGAGGTAGAATATTTTATTCAAATTGAAATGCGACTACTACTGCGGTACCGTCTTTCCAACAAAAAAAGATCATCAAAATCGGTTTAAAAATTTACGGAGTTATCGCATAACATACGTACAAAAAAGCAGTCGAATTGAGAAACTACTCCTTTTTTAAAGTCGGTTAAAAACGGAAGAAAATTAATTTGCTACTCCACGAACCAGGTGGAGGTTAAATTATGCAAAATAACTATGTTTGTCATTGACTTACAATTATATGAACGTCGGGTCCGCGCTAAAAAGTGTCCGAACTTATAGGGCGTTAAAATCGTATACAGAGCATCATTCACGCTTTAGTCTTCGTTTGTTCGACTGACAGCGAAGCAAGCAAAATTAGACAGTACTGCGATGACATTACAATTTAAATTCAACGTTTTAGCTTTTTCATATTCCTTTACATGTCACTACGTTTAAATAGGTTGACTTGGTACATTTTTTCGTGGTTTTTGTATTAGACCCGTCGTCCATTTATTTGTAAGTCAATGATGTTTGTGTTGAATTTTCTTTCATGCATTTGAATTTCTCACCCTCTCTCCTCGTGAAATTAATAACACAAGCGTAACAACCGGTTAGAGACACCACCACCAAAACCCGACATGTGTTTCGCCGACGTCTTCGCCGAATGTCGAACAATCAACAACCACTGACGATAACCTCGTATCCACGCGAAACACGTGTCGGGTATATTTTTGATGGTGGTGTCTGTGACTGTAGTTGCGCATATTACTTCTTTTATTAATTTTATGGGGCGGAGAGTGGAAAAATTAACTGCATGAAAAAAAAGTCAAACAAGCTTAGGTATTTTGCACAGTTTAACTTCCACGTGTTTGCGGAGTTACAAATTACTTTACTCGCATTATTATTAACATGGACTTCCGCAAAAAGTAACGCCTGAATCTCGACGTCGATGATCTCCGTGGTCGAGTGGCTTGACACCGGTTTTCATATGTTCCGGGTTCGATCCCCAGTCGGGTCAACCTAGAAAACTTTTCTTTATTGTCTCGGGTCTGGGTGTTTGTGGTACCGTCGTTCTTTCCCATTTCCATAATACAAGCGCTTTAATTACTTACTTTGGGATCGGAGCAACGTATGTGATATTGTCTAATATATTTACATTATATTAAGTATTTATTACATTATAACAAGTAGATTAGGAGACTTGTGTGTACGTGAAATGATGAAATGTCGCCGCCAATCTCTTTAAATAGTGAAGTATAATATCGTTTAACACTTTTAGGCCCGATCAACTGGTTCCTGTCACTGAAACTTTGGAAATTACCGTCTCGGCTTTCGTATGCGATGTATTTGTTGCATTTTCCCATACAATTTGTTATACACGGAGCAGCTACGCAACACGCTTACTTTTCTGTGTTAAATTTTGTGAGTATCTGGAACTGTTTTTTTTTAATTTAACTTCTTTAGCTTCTAATGTTTTTGTTTGTTATGGTTTAATAGAACGATACATGCTATTATTATAAACGAGGTGTAAATATGTATTACGATCGTTAATTTAAATAATTACTTATAATAATTTTTACTGTGAGTACCGATTATTTTCGAAATTTTATTAATTTAATTACGATATACGTAATAACCTATAATAACGTCAGTTGATAGCAATTAATACGTTTATCCACTTTTCACAGTAATTAGTTCGAAAGTACAAAACATGAATCAGGTTATAAAGGATTTGAAATGTCACGCGGCCAGTTCACAGGGTCTGCAGCGCTCGGATGTTCACTTTCCAAGCATCTCACCCAAAAGTCTCTCTTGTCAATGAGCTTTTTTATAAAGCATGGACCATTAACCTCACTCCTTATTTTCATGTGGGAACCCTGCCAACGACCATTATGTCGTAGAATCAATCATATCAGATGTCTGATCAAATCAACCGATTCTAACGACACCAGCACCATTCTCTCTGCGACCTTAACCAGTTCAAGTTGTCAAAATTATGTAACATTTATAAACAAAGAAACTACGATCGAACTTGTTAATGCGATTCATAGATATCTTAGTAAACCGTTTCTCTAGCTAAGATTTATCCTTTCCTATAGCACATTACAATAAATTGAATTCTGTTACATTACGTTTTATAATGATAATTGGCTCCGACTATATAATGTTTTATTGAATATCATGAAGTTTTTGCTACCTTGACATTCGCTTACGTGAAAACATTCTATTTATTTATATTTATAATATACCAAGTGATGGGACGAACACGTCGTGGACCTGGCGGTAAGCGACACGCCTGTCCACAATAGTTGTGGCTCTCAGAGCTTTAAATTGCAAAGATCTGAGGTATGCTGCCACTGAACCTGCCACCCTGAGAAATAAGTTGACAAGTCCCACGTGCCTGTAATTTCACCAGCACCCTTAATGTTTACATTACCACTTGGCAATAGAAATAGGTAAAGTGGCAGTACTTCACTGGACGAAATCTTTCTCAAGGAGCTCTACTGCTACTGAATTAAAACTAAAACTCTACTAGTTTGTTATTATTATTGATACAAAGACCGAATAAACATAAAGAAAAACTTCTTTGATTCTACTGGACACAAACCAGCGTTTTTTGTTTCTACGGGGCTCTTCGCAATTGAACTTAGCAATTTCTAATGTGTTCGTTGTGGATTTTTGTGTTGGATGTCAACTGTCGGATCGAAGGCTTTTTCTATGTGTTTGTTCGATCCATCGAGTATATAACCAGAAATAGAGACGAAACGTCATTTAATTCGTTTGAAAACTATTCTACCAAATTATTACGGTCACAGCTGCGCTCCGATTGGCCAGCCCGAATACGAAACAATTGATGGGTGTCGTCAATTATTTCACTTCAAATCCATCAGTTTAACTTGAGCTTTGCTGGACGAAAATTTAAAAATTACATATTTAATTACGGATGAAATGTGATTCCGTTTGTTTTGTAGTCAGATGTTTTGCTGTTTGTACAGAATATTTTTGGAATATACGGAGACGTACACACAGGTCAGATGTTGGCGCTGTACTATTTCAGCTCTCTAATTTGTGATTTCAGCGCAAACGAGAATTGATATTTAAAAGTGATTTATGGCTCATTTGCCTGATAGGTTGCCAGGTTTTTTTTTATTATTTCGTCTCTATTTCTGATTATATACTCGATAGTTCGTCTTTGTATAATGAATGATTTTAAATAGAAACATCCCCTAAATATTTTTTGGCTCTTAGAATAAACTCATAATGTGTAAGGTTTATAGGCGCAAAAAGTTTATGGTTATATATGATAAATATTGCGTGTGTAATAAATACTCTTGTGTCAATTATATAAGTAAAAGTAAAATATAAATATTTTCATTACTGATTAATAGGACAAAAATTTACTAATAAACTTACTTATTGTATTATGATACACTACGGTCACGAAAGAAGAAATTAATAAAAAAAAAATTCGTCGGAACAGGATTTTATAAAACTATTTTTATGTTTCAGATGTACATGTTCTGCGGTCAATTAGTTATAATTTTGATTATCAGCTTTGTTTTTACAATTATGGTGGATTCTCCGTGTGCCATTATTTTCAAGGTGCTCTTAGGAGGCGGTAAGTTTTAAAATTTTTATATATTAATTTATTTTTTTATAATTATAATACATTACAGCATTAATAATTATATACTATTGTAAAGGAGGGAGGTTCTTTCGTCCGTTGGATGAGGTTACGAAACCAACAAGCCAAGTGAAACTCCAAATGGTTCAGAAGATTTTTATTTTCACCTTGTATGTCGCCAATACAATTTCACCGTCTATGCGGAAGGACCGGGCAGTTGTTCCCAAGAAGGACTCACTCCTGGAAACCGTTCCGCGAGATGAGGTTTATTCAGTTCACCCTATATGATGGGCAATAATCTTTCACCCTATATGAGCGTACGAAATACCAAAAGATCCGCGTAGCAGACTCAACTCCTGGTTGCCTTACTGAGCTCTCTGTATTCTCAGATTTCTTTTCACGTAAACAAAATTGTGTTCAAGTAGTCGCCATTCGAGGGAAAATCTTAACACCGCGATTCAGAAATAACGCCAAATGGGATAATGCCATCTAGCGGATTCTTAGAGAACTAAAAGTGAACAATCTGGCATAAGGCCGTCTATTACATAAAGTAGGTTTGTTACACTATGTATAAAAAATATAATTAAAAATATATATTAATATTTTTTATAATAAAAAATTATTCAAATTAATAATATACCTATATATTATAAATAACTCCCAAAGGGTTTGTTGCCGAAAACAACTTTTATTATCAATTCGTTCAATCAGTGATTAAATAATAATCAGTGGATAGCGATTAATTCATTTATTTACTTTCCAAAAGACAAATCATAAAACGAATTTTAAATGTCTTGTGGGGAATTCGCAGAGAGTGGTCGCACAATTGTTTACTTCCCAAGCTAACACAAAAAACCTGTCGTGTCAATGCAAACTTGTTTATAAAGCATCGACAATTTATTCCCCTTTTTGGTGAATTAACCTTCTCAATAATTGTCATCGGATCATAACTTTTCTTCTTTACGTATCGATGACATACATTATACTATTGTGGCCCAGAACTCAGCCACGCCGACCGCGTCACTAGTAGCTGCTACTAAATCTTCAAGCATGCAGGTGTTAGGGCATGATATGAGGTGGGCCATCGTTTGAGTCACACCACGCAAGCAGTCCAGGTTAGAACCATCCAAAATTCCCCACTTGAACAAATTGTCCTTGCTCTAACCAACCTAAGTCCGAGGCCTATTTAAAGACTCCATGGCAATCAGTCATGGCAATTCATGTCGAAGAGGAAGACTCTCAGAAGGCTGGACGAACGTAGATGGTACTGTTTCGCACCAAATGTTGCACTTCGCTTGAGCCGGCTCAATGCTCAGAGGATCGACACATTTGACAAAAATTTTCCGGCTCCTCAGTCTCTGTTATTTTAGTGAAGTGATTGTGCATAGGGTGCCGAGTGTCGATGGCCATTTTTACTCTTTCGTATGATGCCGCTACATTTCTGCGCATGTCTGACAGAGCTATGCCAGCAAGTGGGTACAGCAATCTTACCGGGGTCAGCTTAAGACAATCAGTTATTTTACAAGATCATAGTTACATACAGGATCATGTCAGATATTTTTCAGTCTTTGATTATTCGTAACACTTCCAAACGATAACAGCGTCACCCCATGTAAGACTTCACCCTGTTTGAACTGTCTAACTTAAGCGACGTTTGTAAACAAATAAAATTATCAAATAAATAGTCTTCACAAACTCTCTTCTGCGATTATATGAAACGTTCTTAAGTGGTGATGTGATACAAATATGTATATAAGATTAATTTTCAACATTTTTTCTTTTTTCTAATAACATTATGTTTTGCAGATCTCAAAAAATCTAATTCAGAGCAACGAGGTGATAAAAGGAGCGTCGAAAAATCTACTTGTGATTAATCAGGGCAAAACGAGGGAAACCAAATACGTAAATAAATCCTTAAATTGAAATGGTTTTTTTAATTAAATCACTATATTCTGCAACTTTTTAAATTTAAAAGAAACTAAGACACAATCTTAGTATTTCTTCTATGTAACATTATTTAGTGTCCGAACATCAAACACTACTAAGATTGTGTAGCTTCATTATGTATTATAATATACAAAGGTTTGGAAATACGTCTACAGCGGCTAGGTCTTCTGGACAGAAAATCTTTCCAGGTTGTAAATAGATACAAAAGTAACCATCATATATTTAAGGGTGCGAACAGATCTGGCCTCTTTGCTAAGGGTTCGCGAGCTGCACACCTTGTGGCATGTAGTCTAAATTATAATGTAGTACAACGTAGCGTCACTGATCAGGTGTGCAAGAGGTTGATAGGGAGGGGCACTATAAACAAATCTTATGTAGAAAGATATGGGACTGATCAGGCGTGTGTTGCTACGCCGACACAACGCATATTCGTGTGTCGTCGCTCTAAGTTTCCAAGAAAGCCAGTGCAATCCTTGACCGTACTTTTGTTATATGAAAGTCTTAAAAATAATATGAACTACATGGAAAAAAAATGTATATTTACAATTTTATGACTCTTATTTAAGCACAAAAATGTTATCGAGTAACTGCATTCCTAAAATCTATAAATCTCCGTCTTGACAATGTATTAGTGTAATGATGTGCTTTTATTATACGGCCGTCTACTAAACGCGGCTAAATGAAAATATCCGTTTTAAAAAGCAAAAAATAGAACACAAAATTCTCTTTTAAAAATAGTTAAAATTAGTTAACGTCTTTGACTTACCGGAACTTACCCTAAGATGATAAGAACCCTGGGTTATGGTTTTGTTGTGACACTTTAAAAAAATATTTTATCACTTAGCCGCGGTAAAATAATATTTTGTCACTTAGCCGCGGTAAAAAAATATTTTATCACTTAGCCGCGGCAAAAAAATATTTTGTCTCTTAGCCGCGGTTTAGTTAGCGGACGGCAGTATACCGAGGGTATAAAATATTTATACTTTCTGAATAAAAATTCTAAATTTCAAAGCAACTATTTTATCTCTTTTAATAGTTAAAAATATATTAACTAGGTATTATTGCAAATAAAATTACAATCACAATTAGCCTGATCCCTCGACGCATCCCGATTCTGAGCTAACTGGACCCAAGCTTTATCATAGGTGTCCAGTTAGTTACGCCATTGCTTCCTCGGTCTACCGCGGCGCTTTACGCTTTTGGGGCTCCACTGGGTGGTTACCTTGGCCCACAGGTCTTCAGGCGTGCGGCAGATATGACCAGCCCAACTCCATTTCAGCTTCGCAGCTTTTTGGGCTACATCAGCAATCTGAGTTTTGGAGCGCAGTGTCGTGTTCCGAATTCGCTCAGTCCGTTTCACACCAAGTATGCTGCGCTCTATTGCTCGTTGATAGACCCCGAGTTTGAATTTCTGGATCTATGTAAGTGACCAAATCTGCGCGTCATAGGTTAGTGTGGGAAGGATGCACGTGTCCATCAGCTTCCTTTTGAGAGACATTGGAAGAGTAGCCCTTATAAGATCTTTCATGGACCAATGGACCAATGGCTCCTCGAGGCATTTTCAGTACGTGTAGCAATTTCTTACTCCCGCCTGCACTGGAAGGACAGACACTATTATTTCATATGAATTTATTTTTTATTATTTTTAAAAACTACATATTCACGGAAATGAAACATAAATTGTTGACAGGATTTTTGTATTTTATAATTTTACAATACTTTAATGAGCCATTAAAATTATATCAAAACATGTAAATATGATTTAGATTATCATTGTTATACTATAGGTTATAAATGCAATTTATTTTATTATCAATACTTATAATAAACTATCATTACATGACGAGTTCTTAAGTTCATTATACATGATTTTATCTGATGCTATAGTAAAGCTACTTAATAAATTTCTGCCTGTAACTAAATTAATTATTATTATATTTTCATAACATATTACAAGTAAATTTACTTTTGTGAATTCACTCAAACAACAAAAGAATGTCTGCGTTGTTGATCACCAATGTGGGGAAACGTGCGGACTCGTTTTGACGCTATATGCGAGAAACGCTAAAAGCCAAACAGGCAGAATATCAGATTAGCAGAACGCCAGATTCGCAGAATGCCACATTAGCCGCTCACGCGATACATGCAGCCGTAGACGCATACCACACCTAGAGGTGCCGGTGATGATTTTATACCGATTTATCGGATATCGAAGTTATAACAGGTAAAAGAACTAATATTAATTGCTATTTCGGTAACTACTCTAGCAAACCATAAAGTTTTTAATGCCTGGGTCTGTCATTTAAAAAAAATAAACAACTTCAGAAATACGTCACGACAATCGTGTGTGTTATTGTTTGGGCTGGTGATTTCGGTGTTTATTTATTGAAAACATACCGTAAGTAGCGTTTTCTAAGTTTACCCTGAATATTAATGTTTATAAATTAAACTTTAAGGAGTAATTTCATGGTAAACGTTAGAACCACTCAAACGGAATATTATCATATTTATCCAAGTACACCAAAAACTTAATTAGTGCTTTTTAAGTGCAGGATTTGCGGTGTATTACTGCATTTTATTTGAGATGTTTTTGTTGGTAGTACGGATGGTATTTATTTAGCAATGCAGAATAATAATTCTTATTTATAAAAACTTGTATTTAAACTGAATTCTTTACTAATTTGCGAAACCAAATAGCCGCCATTTTGCGGCAGGAGGAGCGCATCGCGTGAGCGGTTAGTAGATTGCCAGATTCTCAGAATGCCAACTTCTCAAAATGCCATATGTCGCAGCTAGGACCAGGCCTCCCTCCTAATGACGTAGACTCAAGGTGACAGGCGTATTTGCAGTCCCTTTAGAACATTGCAATTTAAGGTTTTGAGTGGCACTGCAACTGTTATGGACAGGGGTGTCGCTTACCACCAGACGCATTACTTATTCCACCTGTCATTTGATATATATATATAAAATATAAAAAAATCTAATAATAATTAAATTTTTATTGAATTGATATTCAATTATTTTTTGTGAAATTACTCCACTAGTTTGTTATAATTATTAATACAAAGATCGAACACTCAGAAAAAATTACTTCGATCCGGCCGGATTCGAACCGACGTCTTCTTGCATACCGTGCCAGACGCTATACCAACTAAGCTACGGAACGAACCAACGGACCTCACGAATCTTTTTATGTGCTTACGTCGTGTCTTTGTACTTGGTCTTTCAACGACTTTTTAGTCGTAGTCGCCATCTATGAGAAATCTATTACAGATTTATCACCCAGTTAGTACCTTTACAGCTACCAGACCTGGCGAGAGATGTCGCTATTCACTGTATTAATTAAATTTTTATTGAATGAGAAATGTCTTTTTTTAATAATTATAACAAACTAGTAGAGTAATTTCACAAAAAATAATTGAATATCAATTCAATAAAAATTTAATTAATACAGTGAATAGCGACATCTCTCGCCAGGACTGGTAGCTGTAAAGGTGCTAACTGGGTGATAAATCTGTAATAGATTTCTCATAGATGGCGCTACGACTAAAAAGTCGTTAAAAGACCAAGTACAAAGACACGACGCAAGCACATAAAAAGATTCGTGAGGTCCGTTAGTTCGTTCTGTGGCTTAGTTGGTATAGCGTCTGCCACGGTATGCAAGAAGACGTCGGTTCGAATCCGACCGGATCGAAGGAATTTTTTCTGAGTGTTTTTTCTGAGTGATCGATCTTTGTATTAATAATTAAATCTAATAATATTAATTCTGGTAACGTTTGATAGAAAATGTTTTTATACTTTTTTACGCATTGTTTCGTATTTTTACATATTACATAGTATGTAAGGTCTTTAGGCAATGTGTTTAGTGTACCAGAGGGCATGACTGTAATCATACTTGGGCTCTGAAAATAGCCTAGTTGATTAATAATTGACTAATTAATGGTAAAGTGATTCTAAAAAGATGACTCACTGTAAGAAAACTCACCTTTGAGCCTGAAAACTCATTTGTCGCTGTCTTCTATTTTGTGTAATTGATGTCCATGAAATATAGGTACATATTATTATCACTGCTGATAAACTTTGATTTTTAGTACAGATACGATTAAAAACTGATTCATGTTGTAGTTTGATATCGGACGACAGGAGGATTGGACATAGTTAGTAGAAGCTCGCATTTTGGTTACTACTGGATTAAATACGATGTTGATTAAAATATCTTTTGTTATGTTTTGCACTCTAGTTTTCATTGAAATAGTAAATAGTGAACATGATAATAGAGCTGTGATTATTGACTGGGATGCCACCCATCCACCCTTTGATCCAAATATATACGAAGAAGTTTTAGATCCTGAGCTATGTGCCAGACAACTAGAATATTTGTCTTTGAACGATACGCTGTTGATGATGACATGTAAGTAGTCGTATACTATTAAATGAAAAACATGTTTTTTCAAAGTCACAAATTGCGACTCTCTGAACATGTTTCAGGGCAACTTTCATAATGATTCTCTTAACTCTATTATACCTACAGTTGTCGAGGCAGGCCCAAGAATACCTAGAGGGATTCTACAATTCAATCTTCTGGACCTAGGAAATTACCGTCAGTGCCTTGGTATTAATAAAGAAGTCGATGATATGCTTATTGATGGGAAGTATTGTCAAATAAGTATTGGGTTATCAGATCTTGTAAATTTTGGAGATCCAACTGAACTGGAAAACGTAAAAAAGGCAGTTGGTCCTTTGAAGGATGACATAAATTTATATGAAAGAATGCGACAGAATTTGGAAACACTGAACGGGATAAAAAGTAAAGAAACTCCAAGGTAAGTATTCTATAGTTACCAATAAATTGCTTGTAAAATTGTAATAATTTAGTATAGTTATTTATCTATAAAAAGTAATAATAATAGAAGCCATGTAGTAGGTTAAACTACGTGCACTAGCATTATATATAATCAAAACTAAATATTAAATTTAGTAGAATATCGAATTTACTCTATAGTTAACATTAAATAAAGACTAACAATATTAAATATTGTGACCTTTGTGATTACTCACAAAGTGTACAATATTTATATAAATAAGTTTACTGGATATAATAAGCAAGTTACAGCTAAAGTTAACATTACCTAAATATTTATTCTTCTTAGAACGGATGCAGTTAATGTCGGTGATATACAATTTAGAGTAGCGGTTTGCTTACCCAAGCCTTGCACCATAAAACAGGCGTTGCCGAATCTCTTTGGGACTCAGTTGGTAAATTTTCAAGAACAATTTTGTCGGTTCAAAAACGACAAACCCTGGGCACCGGGAGTTTATGTGGCTATGTAAGTATTTTTGGTATTTTTTTACATTTCAATTATGATTTCGTCGTCTATATGGACATCGGGTCTAATACAAAAACCAAGAAAAAAATGTCCGAGCTTACCCTATACAAACGTAGTGACATATAACGAAATATAAAAAACTAAAACATTTAATTTAAATTGTAATGTCATTGCAGTACTGCCTAAATTTGCTTACAACAATTTAAATGCCCAAAAACACCATATTTAGCTTCTACTGGAAACTTAACAAAATGCATCATATTTAGCTTCGACTGAAAATTACTTGAACACAAGTGTAATGGAATAGCCTTTCTCGTAAATATTAATTAATTCTTTTATATATATTATTATGTCGAATTTTGTACAAATTCACTTAAAGGTATAATAAAGAGTTGGGCAGATACATACATACAATTATTACTACAAATGTGAAAATAAGCGTGTAATATAAGAAATGTACCGATATTCTAACTAAACGTAAACTCAAATATCCGTAATTCCGAAAAACGATTTATAATGAAACCGTTACGCTTTAGAGTAATTTTGATGCCTTTCACAAAGACAAAATTAGCTTTTGTTTTGTAATCTTCGTAAAAACACTTTATGAAAATTCGAGCTAATGTTATTTCGGGCAAATGTATTTTCTTGAAACTGACCTAATGAGTCTCTTTCCATCATTTGCGCATGCAATGAGTAGAAAAAGGACAGTTAGCTATTTCATTATTTCGTGTGCTTTTGTAATTTATATTTACGATTCAGTTATATATAAATTAAATACTATAAAACTGTACAAAATAACACTTTTAAATGACAACTATGATAACACAACTTATTTGTTTAGTGAAAACATGATACAAAATCCTATTTTCACACTTTACTGCAGTAATTTTTACAAGTTATTATTTGTACTGCTTATCTTCTTCTTCTTTTAAATGTTATGGCTCCATCGAAATAATCAATGATTTTGCCAATGTCAAGTAAAAAAATGGCGATTTCGCCAATGTCCTGTGAGAATTTCGTGCTATCGCCTTGTACTACTGCATGATTGACAATCGCGCTGTCACTCGAACAAACGAAGACTATTGCGCGATTGACGCTCTGTATGCGACCCTACACGTGCGGACACTTTTTAGCGCGAACCCGACGTCCATTTATTGGTAGGTCAACGTCTATATCATACAAATTTGCGCCATTCTTGAGTGTAAAAACTCGCCTATCTGTGTTTCTTACTGTGGCATCGTAGCTCCCAAATTGCCGGCCAGAATTTAAGGCGTTTTTTTATTTGAAAGCTAATTTAATTAGGATGTTTCTTAGCTATAGTTTTACATTTTGTAGCTGTAAAGCTCCTTGTGAAAGAGTTCGTCCAAGGAAGTACCTATTTCCGCCGTTAAGCAGTAATGTCAGCATTGCTGCGTTCCTGTTTTGAAAGGTAGGGGTGCTGATGAAATTACCGGCACATAGGACTTGTCAACTTATGCCCCTAAGATCTTTGCGATTTAAAGCTCTAAGTGGCTCGTCGTATCACTGTTATTGATAGGCGTGTATTATAAAAAAAAAGCTGTTCATCTGTTCTTTTTTCAGTTATTGTAACGATCTCACTCTTAAAAGGAATATTTAATTTTCTGCACTTATCCGATCGACTTGAAATTTGTTGTACTTTGGTAACCTTGATTTAATGATTTAAACTTTTGAACTCCTATACTATAACAGTCGTGTTTATTCTCATTGAATTGTATCGGATTGCCTTTAAATAATCTCAGTACAGAGTACTGAAATAACCGACCTCAAAAGTACGTGGAATTACGTCTATATGCTAAGTTTCATTGAAATATCCCCTAGTTCGCCACTATACAGGGCTTGATACTGGAGATAATAAAAATAGGTTCTCACTACGACACTACTCAAAGTATATCGAGAGAAAAACGCCTTGAATTGGAGAAATAGCAAAATCAACTAAATAATTGCTAAAAGTAATTGCTCCTAAATTAAAGTTAGGCGCTATTTATAAAAATGAATCTTCATGCGTGAACAGCCACCCTTTGAGGTGGATGATTTTCTTCAAAATGAAATGGGACCACTATGGAAATACCTCCTTTCCAACAAAAAAAGAATCATGAAAATCGGTTCACAAATACCGAAGTTATCGCGTAACATACATACAAAAAAAAACGAAAAGAAAAAAGAACATACAGTCGAATTGAGAACCTCCTCCTTTTTTGAAGTCGGTTAATAAAATCGGTTTGTCTGGACGAGGTTGATCGATGATGACTTTTTGGAGTACACAGTTTTGTGTCGAGGGTTTTTAAATTATTATTCATTAGTTATTAAGAAAAAGATAATACTGTTTACAAACAGTTTGTTGTCCTTACAGTTCCATTCATTTTGCTAAATATAGACAAGGAAAGAAATGAACAATAGATCGGAAGTTATCGAAAATATCTGGTATATGATAACTGTAGTGTACCGAGTTGGTTTCGAAAATAATATCTGATCTAGAATATGTAATCAATTTTGAAGGCAGCATACCAAGCTACACATAGACGAATCTTTTTCCGCCGGTCTGGAGGTGATATTTGCAGAAAAGTGTTTGTATGTGTTTGATGTGTTGACTGTACAAATGAGTAACAGACTTTTTTCAGTGTCGTCTTCAGTTTAATTGGATTACTGGCGATTCTTAGTACAAGCTACGATATCTGGAATACTCTTATTCGTAAACGAGGTAAGATAGTATTTATTTAAATATGTATAAAGGAAGTTACTTAAAATTTTTGAATAAGGAAACATTTTTGGTATAAAATTATATTTTATTTATTTCAGACCCCAAATCTCTCAACACTATTTGTCAGTCGTTCTCAGTGTACACAAATTCTCGTCGTCTCATCACATATAAACCAGTTCGCGGTACTTTAGAATGTGTGGATGGCATCAGAGCAATATCTATGGCTTGGATTGTAATTGGGCACACATTTTCTACTTCGTCACCTGTTCTAAATAACGCGGACATTTTTCAGGTATTTTGACATTATTTATTACAAAATTGATCTCTGTCTTTACTCTGTTTTTTATTATATATAAGTTTAAATCACTTTATGTTTAAAAAAGGAAATAAACCTGATCTCTACCGGATTTGTGACTCTTCATAATTACTATTAGAAAGAAGAAAATACCATTTGTAGAAATAAAATCACCATTTCTATAGTACAATTTACCTGGACGTGACAAGTTCTTCCATATGCAACCTCTATATATGTAAAGTTGCCTGTTTATCGGTACATACTTTACATGATATATGACGTAGAGTGTGAGATGGAATTCTGTGATTAAATTCCGCCTTCTTCTTTCCATAGTAGGAGGACTAGACGTAGGCTGCAGTTCCACCCGTATGTTGTAGATATTCCAAGGTTTCGCAGGTCAAATGTGCACTTTTTTTAAAGAGGGCAATACCTATCTTGAAATCGTCACCTCTCTACAAAATTCCGAATTGAATGATAGGAAGAACCAGTGTAAAATTGCAGGTCAAGGAAACAGAAGTTCTTAGTTCCCTCGGCCGATGTCAATGGATGGCGGTAATCACTTTCGATCAGATGATCCATCTAAGTGTTTGCCTATTTAAATACCGTAGTATGTTTTTTTTTAATTTAAGGAAGCTGTTGTTCTTCTTCTTATTTAAGAGCCAGGCTCATGTTAGTAGAGGAATCGTCAACAGTTTAGCGCTTTAACTTTGATTTTATTTAAGCGTAGGTATTATGTTTAAATATCTTTCTTATTCTATTTTCTATTATCTTTTATAAGCTTCTCTTTTCTTGCACTGTTCATTTATATACAGATAGATCTATGAAGACTAAATGCTTGATTACGACAAACATCAGCAATTTATTTTTTCTTGCTCTGTTGCAGTGGGCTATGTCACTTAGTTCAATATGGGTGACTACTGCCATGATTGGAGTTGATACTTTCTTCATGCTAAGTGGTTTGCTGATCGTCTATACTACTGTTGGAAAACTAAGCAACAGTAAATATTTATATTTAAGAATGTTGACTCTCTATTGCTTATATAAGTAGTCTTTACCTGTTTTAATCTTATGGGTATTACTTTAAAAATAAGATAACCTTGGCATTTTTTGTATTATTACATAGAAGAGTCTTTGACTATGGTAGAAGTTTTTCATCCTGTCATCTCAAACTTTGAGCAGAGACTTAGTTAGCGCGCTCGATTTCTATTTAACCTTATGCTACTGGTTTTGCATCGATATAAACTTAAAGACCTAATCTATGGCTCGGTTTCCCCCATCAATTGCTTGGTTCCTATTTTGTTCAAATAAAATTAAATCGATCTCCATAATTCGTTTTCTTTATTTTACAGTGAAACTATTAAAGAACCTTCATCTGTTTTATCTCAGTCGACTAGTGCGAATGTTACCACTACTAGCCACTGCCGTGTTGTTGCAAGTTGGTGTTTTACATTATATTCATGATGGTCCACTATGGAATGTAGTAGCGAACTTGACTAGAGAATGTAGGATAAACTGGTGGTCATCATTGCTTTTTGTGCAAAATTACATTCTACCGACGGTACGTATTATATATTTCAATTTTGTGAATGCGTTTAAAACAATGTTAATGATTTTTTGATCATGCTTTCAGCTTCGTTTTTAAAGCATGGTGGATTTGTCGATTTGTTAGATTTTCACTGTTGCTATAGATTCATTCATCATCAACCCATTTATATGTACCACTGCTACGCACAGGTTTTCTCTCAGCTATACTATCTTTGAATCCATAATTGCATATATTTGTTTTTTTTTGTACAAACCAAAGTTTCTGGCTTTTTGACTGGGGCAGAGCCTATGGGACCTACAAAGTGCGGAAAATGTTGGTTTATTCGAAAAACAAATATACGCCATTTGAAATCCGTAAAAGTGTTTAATTTTTAAAGCATTCAAAATTGTTTTCTTAATTTACATTCCTGGTACTTAGCAATTGGTATGCAACTATGTCCTTGAAAGATTTTGTAATCATGTAATAATCTGTAACTATAAAGATATTTGTTACACTGTACTACGCTACTCAGTTACTGTGACTCAAGGGTCGAAGTCGAAGTGAGATAATCATTTATTCCGTAGGTCACATTAATTTACACATGAAAACGTAATATTTTTAAGCTACTGCGCGTACATTGTGCTGATTTTATTGAGAAGAACAAGCAGGAAACTATGCACTAAGGAAGAAATACAATTTGAATCAAATGTGTGTGGAATCTAGAGTCATGTCGTCTTTCCGTCCATCTTTATCTAACACTTAGTCTTCTATTTTATAATATGACTTTTTAATTAAAATAATTTTGATGTAGGTTTTAAACTTAGGAAATGACAATATTCATATATGCTCCGGAATCTTATTTTAAAAATGTACACGTATACAGTACCCCATAAAAAATTGTTTACCGAAGTTAATCGAAATCAGAAAAAAAAAAATTTTATGATGGTTCTCTTGGATTGGTTAGTCAAAGTCACTTCCCTGAGAAGAACGAGCAAGAATCTCTAGGGATTGCTTTTTTCAAATAAACTTAAATTCTATATAATACATTTTGAATCATATTTGTGTGGAAATTTTAGTGTGTTAAAGGTTTCTACCATTACATAAATTATTTTTACTTTCAGTGTTTACCACATTCCTGGTACTTAGCAATTGATATGCAACTATACATTCTATCTCCACTGATTTTGTTCTGGGTATTGTCAGGCAAAAAGAAACTCGCCTGGTCGGCTTTAATTGCTGCGTTATTAGTTTCTCTTACTGCGGCGTCAATTTACAACTTCTTGAACAATTTCATTAGTTCTCCTGTACGACCTGAGTAAGTTTGCATAAATAATAATAATAATCACGCACACACTCAACATAGCCCCGCACTAGGGAAACCCTGTGTCGCGGGTGCCATGGACACACACATAGACAACCACAAATTACACCCAAACTCACGAGAGAAATAAATATAGGCCATACAAATATTTCTCCCGGCCCGGGAATCGAACCCGGGGACCTCTGCGTGGCAGTCCGGTATGGTAACCGTTCGGCCACGAAGGCAGTTGATTAATTTATTGATAGTATTCAAGGCTCCGAATATATTTGTTCTATACGTACCTTATTTTATTATGCCATGTATTTCGACTCGTTACAAACAAACAGACGTAACCATTAACTTACGAATAAATGGACGACGGGTCTAATACAAAAACCACGAAAAAAATGTCCCAAGTCAACCTATTTAAACGTAGTGACATGTAAAGGAATATGAAAAAGCTAAAACGTTGAATTTATATTGTAATGTCATCGCAGTACTATCTAATTTTGCTTGCTTCGCTGTCAGTCGAACAAACGAAGACTAAAGCGTGAATGACGCTCTGTATACGATTTTAACGCCCTATAAGTTCGGACACTTTTTAGCGCGGACCCGACGTCCATATAATTGTAAGTCAATGGACGTAACCATAAAAGCAACATTTTGAGAAAATAGCAAGAAAGAGAGAAAGAGAGTAGGTACAAGTAGTAAGTTTTTCTTGTACTCTCTACAAGAAAAACTTAAGTTTGTTTTTGGTAAATTTGTTTATTTCTCGTATAAAGTCATAGAATAAAGTTATTGTTTATGATGTTAGTAATATAGTCCTGCGAGGCTGTTAGTATTTTATAATTAACGTTGTATATTCCAATCTCAATACATTACTCTTAAACATCTAAGGAGATGGTTTGGGCCGTAGTTCACCAAGCTGGCCTAATAAGAAGGCAAATTGTGAGCCCTTAGCTACGTGCTGATTTCACGCTTATATTCTTCATTGATATTGTAATTAGATAACTAAACTTTACTAAGCAATCATTGCTACATTTGCTTTGTATAAACAAATTTGATTACAGAGTGACCCAAGAAGAAGATTGGAGATTCTGGAGATACTATTACTACAATACTTTAACGAGATGTTCTCCTTTCTTTGTTGGCATGCTTTTTGGATACTTGATCCATTATTGGCGAGAAAAGAACATTCGATTGTCAAGGGTAAGTTCATATAACATAGGACAAGTCAATATAAGCAATTCAATTAATATATGACATTTTAGATGATCGAAATATCACCCTTATCAGAATGGTCTCATGGGGATCTAAAAAAGCAGCCACACATGGATCTTACAAAATGATGTTTAATAATTGTATGAGTTGCAAATTACTAATACAAAGATCAAGCACAAAAAAAACTTACTTCTATTCGGTTGGACTCGAACCAGTGAACTCGCCATACCGTCGCTGACGCTCTCCCAACTGAGCTACAAAACGAACCAGCAGACCATACGAATTTCTCTACGTGTTTGTTGTAGATCTTTGTTTCTGGTTTTAACGACTTTTTTGCTGTAGCACCATCTGTGAGAAACCTATAAAAGTTTTTCTTCACTCAGGTTACCTTTACAGCTACTAGCGGTTGACTAGAGATGCCGCTTTAATAATTGTAATATTAAGTTTATTTAATATCACGATGTTTTACTACCATGATGTTTTTGTGTGTTTGTTATGTCATATTTACTGAAAAACGTTTTATTTTGACACAAGTAAGGTTCATTAGACATATCAAATTTTCGTACACGCAACCTTTATTAGAAAACATTTTTTTCGAAATTAAATAAAAGGCATCCTTTTTTACATTTTGTTACAAAGCAGAAACGGTTGCCAATTTAAAAAAATGTTCAAAGAAAGTTTACGAAAACGATAAGAACGCAAAATCAACCTCGAGCCACCCGACGTAATCAAAGCAAACGAATAAAAAAAAAGACAGCCCACTAATTCTTTATGTTCAAATTAGACTTAAAAAAAACTGGCCAGTCTTTTTGTAACATATTGCTTTATTTTAGGTTTCTATTTATTTCGCTAAATGGGTGTTCATAATATATATCAAATATCATATATGACATGTGTAGGGGTAGGAAAAATAGGTAGAAAAAAATCTACATAAACAATGTCAATTGTTATATCAGTTAAAAGTCTTCTGTATAGCGCACATAATCTGATGAAGACGGAATTACAGACATTGTTGTTTTACAGATCGTAAATTATATATTATGGATCGTCAATTTAGCTGTGCTGTGGCTGGCATTGTACGCGACCGAGCCAATGAAAAATGCTGGATTTGATAACAAAGTTTATGAAAACTTTGTGAATTCATTCATGCGACCAATGTGGGCTCTTGGACTTGGCTGGCTTATTCTTGCTTGCGCTGAAGGTTACGGAGGTGAGAAAAGTTTGTACAGAGAATACGAACATATTTATTGATATTTAATCTGATGTGAAAATAACAAAAAATAAATAAATTATTTTGACCTTTGATTACAAAAAGAATGAGTGAATGAGATTGTCCAGGGACACTATTGCCTCTTTCTGTTTCTGTCGCTAAGTTGTAATATGAGTATTGCTGCGTTCCGATAGAGGGTTTGGTAAAATTGCAAGCACATGAGGCTAATTATACTAATTAAACTTATCAACTTAATTTAACAGGCGCCGTGGCAGTGCCCCTCAGATCTTTACGATTTAAAGCTGTGAGTGGCGCTGCAACCACTATGCACGTGCGTGTCGCTTACCACCAGGCGTACGGTTAATTCGGCTAGTCACTTGGTATAAAAAATATTATAAAATTTACGATCTGCAAAATTTTATAAGGTGTTGAAGAGTTTATTTATAAATCTCAGCTGAGTAAATCAGGGTCTCAACAATATTATTTGAATTAAGAGTGGGTACGCACGGCGACTATTAGCAGTAATGCAAACGCGAGTTCGTGAAACGCGAGATTATGTAGATACTAACGCGTGATTGCATCTATGTAATTACCTATAAAGCCCAAGTGACGCAGTCGCGCGTTTGCATCACTGCTTAAAGTCGTGCATGTGTAAGCTCTTAAATAAAGAAAATACCGAATTCTTAGAAATGAAACAATTTTGTCGCAACTACGTCACTTATATAGGTGAAAAGGGAAACCTCGGTTTACTTAAAAAAAATTAGATCCGAAGAGTACTTTTAGTTTCAAGAAAACAACGTAAAAATAAACAAGTATATAAAAATAACTAACACAGACCTATGTGCAAGATGCTGCTTGTTCTCGAGACATTATATTTCGTTCGTTGTTCTTAACTGCGGATATCCACAGTCAAGATTGACTGTTGTTCGATTTTATATTTTCGAAACGAAATAATAAATACATAAAAAGTCTGAAAACACCTTTATATAGGCCTTTTGAATAACAAGACTATGTTGTAACCTGTTTTCGCTGTATAATCACATCGCACTTGGTTCTTTGGATGAGTCGAAATAAAGCTTCACACTAATCTATTACCTGGTATCAAGCTAGGATTATTTTACGATACCATGAGACGAGACGAGCAAATCGTGCGCCTGGTGGTAAGCGACAGGCTTGTCCTAGCAGTTGCAGTGCCACTCAAAGCCCATCACCCAGAGACGAGTTGAAAAATCCCATGTCCCTGTAATTTTGAATTACTTGTAATGAGAATCATGTGAATTCACTCCTGGGAACTACTCGGAACACCCTTACCGGAACCGGCTGCAGCTCTGTGATTGGCCAATGATGTTGTCCTCCGCAAACGTTCAATGTTGCTTACGTGGAAATGTCAAGCTTGCTAGATATCAAACTCACAAATCCAACGCAAAGCAAGCAGCCGGCGCAAGCGAGCGACTCGTGAACAGTCAAATACTTTCAAAGTTAAATACTTTCAGGGCCGATCAACTGGTTCCTGTCACTACGTATGTGGAAATTGCCGTCTCGGCTTTCGTACGCGATATATTTGCTGCATTTCCCCCTACAATTCGTCATAACTAGAGCTGCTTCACAACATATTTATTTTTCAGTGGCGAATTTTGTAAGTATTTATTAGTTCATCTTATTTTAACTGCTTAATTTTATGCGGTTGAATGGTTAAAGGAAACAATGAAAATTTAGATTTAGTTCATTACATATTAATCATGAAAAATATATCATAATTCCATTCAATGCAATGCAAATTGTCTGAAACGCCCAGAAGAACAAAAAATGGAGTCAAATAAAAAAAGACAATGTCATTTATCAGGCAATATCGTTGCAAGGTAGCAATCTCCTCCACACAAGCAGGTGACAAAATGAACTTAAAAGTAATAATGTAGTAGTTGTACTACCAAGCTAGTGTTTATATAATCAACGAGGTTTATGGTTTCTTAAGGGGAAAAGGACAGATAAGAATAAAAAAGTAAACGTACTCAAACGTATTCAATAGAGGTCATTATTTATTCTATTTACCATTAACATTCACTTCCTTTTAAATAGGAAATGAAACTATTTTTCGGATCTAAATCGCGTCATTATTTTTTAAACAAACCTATGTTTCGGCCCATAGTCTACTCTGACTACCTTTTGAATGCTTTTTCCTTCACTCCAGATAGTCCGAGTTTTATCTTCAACGCTTTGTACCTTAGAGGATGAAAAGGAACTCGGTCAATCCTTTGCTTTACAAACTTTTCAGTACTCTTTATCGATATGTACCATTTTTTTAACATTACTACATTATATAGCATAGTAATTGATCTATTATTAAATACAAATTGAAATACATAGCTATTGGTGACAAAAATAAATAATGGAACAAAGTAGTGCAGATATTACATTGACGATGAAAATAAAGAACGTGAGTAGAATTAATAATATTTCACGATGTAGTCGACGTTATCAGTTTCGACTTAATTTTATTTCTATATATAAAAGAAAGGAGTGGAGGTATGCATCATGTTTCAAGTGATTTAAATCTATTTCACCTAACGCGTATAAACGCAATATCGCAAGCTTTATTTAAAAGCTAACCTTTATTTACTATACACCACAATAATAATTATGAAATGTAACTAGATGTCTAAATAATGAAAAAGATAAAAAGATATCTTAGAATTAAATCTGCTTTATTTTCTTTTTACTTTCGACCTTTATCTAAATGACATTTTCCTGAAATAACGTTTGGTTGAAATTTCATCATCTCGAAAGTAATTTTGAGAGGAAAATATTTTTTCTTTTAAACCTAACCGAACCTAATCATGTCTTTGCGATAAACATTCAACATATCCTGAAAGAACAACCGTTTCGTTATAATTCGGTTTTCGGTGTAATGAAAATTCGAACAAACGATATTTCGGACAAAAAATTTTCGAATTTGTGATAGGTTACCACTTTTATCATTTTTGTTTGTTTTAGATTTACATATTCTGTGGCCAATTTGTTATATTTTTCATAGTCGGCTTTATCTTTACAATTCTGGTGGATTCTCCGTGTTCCACTATGTTCAAAGTGCTTTCGGGAGGTGGTAAGTTTCAAAATTAATTAGCTTGTGAACACATTCATATGTGTACATCATACAGGGTTCCGAGTCTACTAATTTTCTTAAAACCCCTGATCATTGTAATTATGTTGAGATTCCACTGAGATTATTTTGCAATTATGATGATATTTATTATTCCGCTCATATCTAGTCGCAATGATAGTTGAGTCTCAATAGAGTGTCAGTGGAACGGCAGTGATGGCATTAATTCATTAAATCACTAACGATCGATGTTGCATTACTAAAACTACCGTGGAAATTATTATTAGTCTTCAAATTATATGTATTTTTTGCGAAATAAAACTCGATAGTCGAACTTAAATTGTAAATAAAAAGCTTCTACAGAAGCATCGACGTGCCTTCAAGTCGCTATTGAAGAGCAGAATACCGAAAAATTGCGAGCGTACAAAATCCTGTCACTGACACTTATTGACACACAACTGTGATGATGAGCAGACTTGGGCCCTGATCTCTAGTTAAAAAAATATTTCTTAGGAGACCAAAGTTAGATTTGAGACTTTTCCTTCTCTTGGCACTATTTAATTTTTTTATGTAATATTTGGCAGGTATAAAAAAATCGGATTCAGAGCAACAAGGTGAAAAGGCAAACTAGTTAAAGAGCTTAATACAAATAGACTCATCCGAAGAACAGAGTCCCATGTGATTGTGAAAAGAGATAAGTACGTTACGAGAATAATTTCGTTATTCAAACCAAGACCTACGTAAAGGTGTTTTGACAATTTATATATCTTATTTCGTTTCGAAAGTATAAATTCGAACAACGGTCGATCTGACATTGACAGCGAAGAAGAACGAATGAAATGTTATCTTTGTTTTACGGTTGAGTCCAACTATAACAGCAACTTCAAATTCTTTAAAATAAAAAACTCAGTTACAAATAGTATTGTTTTTTAATTCAAGTGAAGGGACGAAAAAGTCGTGCACCTGGTACCAGCAACACGCCTACCCGTAGAAGGGAACATTAAGTATTTTTTCTTTATTTTGAAACTTCTGTAGATTGAGTTAATCAATTTCTTTAAAAATATCTTATCATTTCGTATAGCGAATCCACGTAAAAACTAAACACAAACACGTGCTTAAGTTACTCACTATTTACAAAATTATATGTAATTAAAACGCACATTATCAATTTTAGCTATAAAAACCAGTAGCTGCGGTGATAAATTAAAACTTGGAACAATATTATGTTCATCATCAACTAAACTCTATTTTTGTTGGACATCACTTTAGCTAGAGACAGTGTGTTGGTGGGCGTTAAACAGTGACGATGCGTGTGCTGTGATTTTAACATCGCTAATTTGATCCTCCCACACGCTCGTACGAGCGTACCAAAGGGACGGCTCGTCTGTGATAACTCTGACATATCAGTAACGGTGCTTAGAAAGAGTCCATGAAAATCACAATTTACTTGTATTCGATATGTTGTTGTGTGTGGAGTTATATAACAAAATATGACACAAACAATTATTGATCTTATGATTATTTATATAAACAAATGATTACCATGAACTAATACATCGCACCCTTGATGTAATAAGGCCATCTGCAAAGTGACAAGTTTTCAGGACAAGATTAGTCGATAACTCTATTATGCTTAAATAGGAGAGTTATAAAATTTCACATAATATATATATTTTAATTTGTAGTATAATAGTCATATAAAGCCATATTGTTATATAATCATTCAGCCATACGACGTCCACTGCTGGGCATAGGCCTCTCCCAACGATCTCCACGACGATCAGTCCTGCGCTGCCCGCATCCATCGGCTTCCCGCGACCTCCACCAGATCGTCGGTCCACCTGGTGGGGGGCCTACCCACTGAGCGTCGTCCGGTGCGCGGTCGCCATTGAAGAACCTTTCCGCCCCAACGGCCATCGGTTCTCCTAGCTATGTGCCCCGCCCACTGCCACTTCAGCTGAGCAATTCTTCGAGCTATGTCGGTTACCTTAGTTCTCCTACGGATTTCCTCATTTCTGATTCTATCACGCAGGGAAATACAATAATATAATAAAATAATAAAAAAGAAAATAGAGCATCGCTCTCTCCATTGCCCGCTGAGTGACCTTGAGCCTTCTTATGAGGCCCATAGTGAGGGACCACGTTTCTGATCCATATGTGATCACTGGCAACACACACTGGTCAAAGACTTTCGTCTTGAGACATCGAGGTAATTTGGACGCAAAGATTATTTGGAGTTTCCCGAACGCTTCCCATCCGAGCTGGATGCGACGAGAGATCTCTTTCTCAAAGTTGGACTTACCTAACTGGACTGTCTGCCTCAGGTATACGTAATGGTCAACAGCTTCGAGTGTAATGCTCCCAATTTGAACTGGAGCGGGTACAACATGGACATTCGATGTCCTTCATCTTGTCCATGTTCATCTTAAGACCCACTCTTTGGGAAACACTACTAAGATCTTCGAGCATTGTGTTCAGGTCTCCCAAGGTCTCAGCCATAAGAACTATATCATCGGCAAATCGAAGGTGTGTTAGGTACTCGCCATTGATGTTGATGCCAAGTCCTTTCCAGTCCAGAAGCTTGAAAATATCCTCCAACGCAGCAGT